ATATATATATATCACAGCATCAATCTCATAGGATAGATAATACTATTAATACTAATGCTTTTTCAGAAAATAACCACTAAATATTAAATCCTTCAATCTCTTTTTAAAAGACAGTAAGTACTCCAAGAGTCTTTATAGATTCTCGGAAATTGAGTTGTATGATTTGACGCCTTGATGTGTAATACTCTCCTGACCAACGGAAGCCTTCATAGCAGTTGCTCGTAATTGTTGCCTATTTTTAGTACTGTAGAGTTATGGCCTAGTAGATTCGATGTAAAATGAATGTTTGAATAGATATTATGCAGCTGGGTCTATGTATGTATGTACAGGTTTGAATTATGTACAGTGAGTGCACATCCATGATTCGTCTAGTTACATATAGTTGTGCTGTTGGATACTGGCACAGAAGATTATATACTTTTTTAATAGCTTTATTCTGCAATACTTTTAATTGATCTATTCGATTTTATGTCGCACAACTCCGGATGAATGTCGGGTATGTGACATGACTATGCACAAAGGAGTAATACATTGTTTTTCTCTGGCTTATAAAAGTGAATTTTGAAATTCTTTCCAAGACACCAATGGCAGGGGCTATTTTTTCACAGATTTGCTGTATATATTTGTCCCACTTCAGCTTATCATCAATATTAAGGCCGAGGTACTTGATACAAGTTGTTCTGGTTAGGCGACTTGTTCCAATTTCATCTGTGATATCATCCCATGCTCCTTGTTACTATTATCATAGTATAAAGATCTTCATACTACGCTATCATATAGTTTGACTTGTTTGCATTAAGAGTTAATTTGTGATGAATTAACGATTTTTTTATATGTTATGTCAGTTGTTCCGCTAACTGCATCATTAAGCACCACATTTTGAATACGTCCCACCAGTTAGTCGCTGAGCCATATCAGAATACCATGCAAACCGGCTGATTGTAGTACTTCCAACAGAAGTCTATAATCCACCATGTCGAATACCTTCCTTAAGTCTAGGAAGACAAAAATACAATTCAAACCTTTATCCAACTTCTCTATCATGTTTGTAATTAAGTCAGTTGTTGTGGTTTGGGTACTGCTATTTCTCCTGAAAACATATTGACAATGATACCAGAAATTTGTGATTAAGAAATGTGATAAGGTTATTGTTCACGCATGTTTCGGATATTTTTGAGATAACTGATAACAGGGATATAGGTCTATAGTTGTTACTAAGGGATCAATCTCTTTGTAGATGGGGATGACTCTTGCACTCTTTAGTGCTCGAGGTACAGACCCTGTAGTGAAGGTAAGATTCACCAGAAGACTTACAATAGTGGTGATTTCATCTGTAAAGTATATGCGGTCAACTCCTACAGCTTTATTTCTTCCGGGGTTGTTGGTTCTAAAGCAAATACATCCCTTGTAATTATTATTGGAGGCTCAAAATTTGTTTTCGGAATTATCCTTGCTAAGGTTGGGCCAATGTTGGTGAAGAAGTTGTTCAATTCATTGGCAATATCCTGAGGTTTTTTTGTGTACAATGGTGTTCAAAACTTCCCAGATTTTTTTGGATTGTTTTTTACCTGTTTGAGCCTGTCTTGATAATATTGTCTCTCCCGGTAGACAGTATTTTCTGTGCATTCTGGAACATACTTTATAAATGTGCACTATTAGGGAATAGTCGATGTCTTTGATAATAATAGTCTCTATCTTCTTTAAGTTTATGTATGTGACGTACCACGAGGCACTGTCCTTTCCGAATCTGTTCTTCAGTTTTCTTATTATAATATTTTTTGGTAAGCGCTAATCACTACATCACAAAGAATATCTGGATCTTCTCAGATGTGCCTGGCAAATCTTTGCAGTTCATTTCTGAATGTCATTTCTTTCAAATCTTTGATGATATAATAATCATTGAGGTTTACTTGTGGCGATTCCATCGTCACTATTTGTAATATTTGGGATCAGTGGTCACTTACAGCATTTTTAACTGTAGCTAAGGAGTATTCATTGGCATCATCATTAGTAATGAGTAGTCAATCAAGGTTTCACTGTGCCGAGTCACTCTTGTTGGCATTGTGCTGTTCAATTTCTTCAAACCATTCGCTTCAAGCATTATATCTAGATTTTCCTTTTGACAACTGTTTGTTAGGGAGTCAATATTGAGATCTCCCATCATCCAGCATTTTTTGTTTCCATTATTTATGTTTTCCAGTTTTCCTTCCAGAGAACTGGAGAGATTATAATATGTTGGTCAGTGTATATCCCACACAGAATTAAGTTTAGTTTCTCTATGTGAATGAATACCATTGAGCAATTATCTGCTTGTCTAGCTATTTTTCTGTAGGTATAGTTATCCCTAATCGAGATTCCAACTCCTCCACTCCGTTTGCCTCTGCTAACAAATACAATTTTATATCCTGGTATGTTATCTATAACATTTTCCATTTTCTAGTTTTAGCCAGGAATCACTTTCACAGCATCAGGATGAACAGAATTGTTGATCAATATTTATAGCTCTTCCATTCTGTTTTTTATTGAGCATGCATTCAGATATAAGACAGTGAAGTTACTATTGTCCCCATTGTTGTCTACATATTCCTTAATGTTATGATAAAGACTAGCACTTGATTTATATATTTCGGCCATTTCAATTAGGTTTAGATATAGCATCCTCACTATTTATGCAAATTACTGTTTCATTCTCATCCTTTCTATTGAGGATTTTTCCATCTTTGGTCCATGAAAACTTGTACTCCTTCTCTCTTATACTTGTGTGCCATATTGAATAGTTTTCTGTTACGGGGTGTCAACTGTTCATTAATGAATATTTTGGTTTTTGCTTCGGTTTCATTCTTGTTACTTTTTAACATTGCAGAATCAAGGCTGCATTTCTTTCTATTTATTAGCGTTTCTTTCTATTTATTAGAACTATGCTTTTTATTTCAAGGTTTGCCAACTCTGCAAGAAGTATGTTTCTTTTTCTTGTTTTCTTTATATAACAGTCTATTATATCTTTGTTTTTTAGTTGACATTCTTATATAAGGCATTAGCGATTTTCTTCATCACTTTTATAGCCTCAGATTCCAGATAATTAACTTTGTCCTTCAACTGTGCAGTTATTTGTTTCAGATAATTTTTTTCTGTTTTGGTTGGTTTCCGGGTTTTGCCGAGGTCTTCTTTGGTTACAATCTCCAAACGGTTCAACTGTAACTGCGGCAGTCATCTTCAGTGGCATGGTCGAAGTAATCTTCTTAACGTATCAACTGAAAAATTCATTTGATGATGATGTACCATATGATATTTGAACAGTTTTCATTTATTCTTTTTTTTTTAATGCTGTGAGTGGTTCTGAGTTCAACTAGTAAAGTTTTCTCACAATTTTTGAAAGATGCTTTCGGATGAGCGGCAAAATATCCAACAATAAGATTTCCAAATCTGAGGCTTTCGTTTGGTTAGTTTTGAAAAAAATGATTAATGATGCAAATAATTTTTCAACAGCCTTTTCGCCGTATTACGATTCAGTTTAAGTTTTCTGCATACCTTTTGGCAAATAACCTGCATGTCCGTTTGATAATTCGATAACTTTCATCATAGATCATAATCAAATTTAAAAAATCTTCGTTAATATAACTTAAACGAGACATTTTGCTCACGAATTCGTAAAATACATCTATACAAATGGCATCATCAATAAATCAACAGCTACTATCATTTGTTTCCATAGCTATTCCTATTGTATTCAGCGATAAAGTACTCATAAACGATAAATGGAAAATTTCATCCAATAACCTAGATGCCAATGAAATCAGTTGTATGGGTGTTGATGAATTGTTTATTTTGTGGAAAATCATGATCACTTTTTATTACCCCATTATATACTTGATAAAACCCAAAACCACTTGTAAAAATAAAATAACTAGTGGAAATATCTCGTGAACGGTTAATTTTTGATATATGGAATGTTCCATAAAAATAG